GACCCCTATGTGCCACCCCCCACTGCACTGCTCCACCCTCCACCCCCACCCTCCAGGGCTCACGTTGGCCAGCCGCTGCTCCAGCTGCAGGATCTCCTGAGCCTTCTGCTGCACTGAGTCCGCGCCCAGCAGGCTGAGCAGGCGCTCCATGAACACCCTGTAGGCCGCCAGGACCTGCACAGGACAGGACTCTTCATGGAGGGCCCGTGGCAGCCTGGGGATGCACCCCCACACTTCACCCCCAACCCCCACCACCCCAGACCCAGGCCTCCTCACAGCCCCTGCTCGCCAGGAACCTTCTCACTCTCCTCATCCTGGGCCAGGTACAGGGTCCTCTCAGGCAGGGTGAGCCCATCCTGGTCAATCTGGGGAGAGTGACAGTGCTCAAGGGGCGAGCTCAATGTGCCAGTTTCCCAGACTGACTCCCCCCCAAGTGGCCTGGAAGCTCCTGCCAGACATCTGCCATGACCCAGGAGTGCAAGGACACGAGCCTCCCCACCCAGAGCTGCCTCGAAGCCTGGGGACAACTGGGGAGCCACCCAGGTCTTCCCCATCCACCCTCACTTTGGGAGTTGGGGCCCAGGGATTGCACTTACCCCAGCCCTGGGTCCTCACCTGTGTCCTCCCAGCTGACACAGGTCTGGAAGTTGAAGCTCTCTGAACCCTGGCCTCAGCACCAGGAAAGATGCTGCCTCCTCCCCTTTCCTGGAGGCTACTGCTGGGCTCACTCTGTGCCTCTGGCCTTGTCCCAGCCCTGCACAGAGGCCCTCACCCCTGGCTGAGACTGAGCTGTGGGATCTTGTGATCTTTTTTGTCTCTGCTTGGGCTGCTAAGGGCTGTGGCAGCAGGGCCACAGGCAAACCAGAAGTCCCGTTGAGCCTGCCCAAGTCTGCCCCAGTTGTAATAAGAAAGGCTGAGGAACATGAGCAAAGGTACCCAGCCAGGCAGAGCAGGCTACGCCTCACACAGGCACAGCAGTGTGTGGCCCCAGGTGCCCTGAAACAGTGAGGAGCAGCAGCCCCTGGCACAGGGGAGTCTCACCACAGGCAGGAGCACACATCCCCGGATGCTGTGGCTGCATTGGAGGCCCGGAGGCTACCAAAATGTCAAAGAAAAATAAAAATATCAAGCAAAACAAAACAAAAAACCATGCATGTGGCCGCACATAGTGGTGCATGCCTATAATCCCAGCACTTGTGGGGGACTGAGGCAGGAGGATCATTGCAAGTTTAAGACCAGCCTGGGCTACAAAGTGAGCTCAAGGCCAGCCTGAGCTGCATAGTGAAGCACTGTCTCAAAAAGACAAACAAGGGCTGGCGAGATAGCTCAGCAGCCTGAAAAGCCTGCTTAGGCAAGCTTAGGGAAGTCCAGTACCACATGCCGTACCAGCACTGCCCCTAGGGTGGGCTAAGCCAGCCAAAGTCCAGGTGTGGTGACACATGCCTGTAAGCCCAGCACTGGGGAGGCTGAAAGCAGGAGGAGCACTATGAGTCTGAGCTGCATCGTGAGACCCTTCAACTACCAAATACATTAAACAAACAAACAAACAAACAAACAAACAGAAAAAGACAAACAAAACCAAAAAAATGCAAATGAACAAAAAGTCCAGAATGTGTTAGTTACAAAAATGTGACAAAACAAACAAACAACAACAAAAACCCAACCCAGGTGTGTTACAAAAATGTTAAATTTAAAAAAAAAAAAGAAAAGGAAAGGAAAGGAAAGAGAAGAGAAGAGAAGAGAAGAGAAGAGAAGAGAAGAGAAGAGAAGAGAAGAGAAGAGAAAAGAAAAGAAAAAAAAAAAAAAACAAAGAAAGAAAAGAAAAGGAAAAAAGACCCCTGGAGGTGTCTGGCACATTGTCCAGGCTAAGTGTCCCAACCTGGTCAAAGAGGCAATCACTGAAACAGCCTGACACCAGGGTGCTGATGAACTCCCCAGTTTTCTTCTACAGGGGCGGGGGCAGGAGTGGTGATAAAAACTGAAGTGTTTTTTGTTTGTCTGTTTGTTTGCTTGTTTGTTTTTTGAGACAGAATCTCACTGTGGAGCCAGGCTGGGCCTCAAACTAGTGGCAGTTTTCTTACCTCAGCCTCCTTAGTACTGAGATCTCAGGCAGATCGAAGGCATGCATGACCATGCCTAGCTGTGGTAATTTCAAAAATCAAAAACTAGGGGCTGGGGAGATGGCTCAGTAGAATTAGCATTTGCCTAGCAAGTGCAAGGGCCTGAGTTCAATCCCTGGTTCCGCATGTGCAATAGTAGAGCTTAGATCACCATCACTGCAGACAGGATGATGAGAATGGCCACACCTCGGGCCAGGCCAGGCCAGGCGCTGGCTCAGTACCTTCCCACAAGAAATGGGACAAAGAACGTGAAGGACAGCTCTGAGGGAGCCTAGAACCATAAAAAGCAGCCGGCTGCACAGGTGCAGGCTTGCAATTTAAGCACTTTGAGAGGCTGAGGCAGGATGATTGAATGTTCAAAGCTATCTTGGGAAGACCGGCTAAACAGCTCAGCGGATTAAAGCGCCTGCTTAGGCAGACGCAGGGGACAAGAGCTCAATCCCCTGGCCTGCTGTGCTGGCCCGCCTCTGGGGCGTGCTGAGATGGCATTTGAGACTGGCTGTGGTGGCATGCGCCTGTAATCGCAGCCATAAACAGGAGGATCACTATGAGTCTGATCTACACAGTGAGACCCTGTACACCCTGTCCTAAATACAAACTAAAACAAAAAAATAACTGATCAAAGCTACCCTGGGCAACTTAGCACTTAGTGAAACCCTGTCTGAAAACAAAAATTGAAAAGGGCTGGGGATGTAGCTCAGTGTGGAGGCCCAGGGCAGCGCTCAGCTAAAAGGCTCTAGTCAGAATTTGGGTTTTGACAACAAGAGCTTCGTGCTGTGGTGTCCAGGGCTGCAGCTAATATCATATCGGTCGGCAGAGACAGGGACATGGACAAGCTCCCCAGAGTACGGGGTGATGCTTCCCAAAACTCTAGTTACAGCGGCCGTGTGAGGGAAACGACACACTGCTATGATTTGGACATGGCCTGAATATCCCTAAGGGCTCATGTGCTAAGGCGAAAAATTTACACAACCTGAGGAGAAACCAGCGTGTGTCATGTGTTAAAAATGTTCTCTCTCTTTCTTGAGACAGAGTCTGTGGTGTAGCACAGGCTAGCCTCAAATTCACAGTGATCTTCCTGTCTCAGCTTCCCCAGGGTTGGGATTGTAGGTGTGGGCTTCAATACTTGGCTCATGTGTTAAATTTAATTCTCTATTGATGGGTATTAAGAGGATGGACAAGTCAGGCATGGTGCACACACCTATAATTCCAGCAATCTGGAGGCTTAGCCAGGAGGATCAACTTAAGCTCAAGGCCAACCTGGGCTACATAGCGAGATCCTGTCTCAAAAAAAGGTGATCAGGACTGGAGAGATGGCTCAGTGGTCTAAATCACCTACTTGGAACAAGCTTGGCAAAGCACAGGGACCGTGGTTCGATCCCCCAGCACCACATGCCAGCCAGCCACGTCCCCTGGTGGGCTGAGCTGGCACACACACACACACACACACACACACACACACACACACAATAAATAAATGTTAAAAAAAATTTAAAAAAAAAAAGGTGATCAGAGGGCTGGACAGATAGCTCAGCAGACTAAGGCATCTGCATAGGCAGAGTGCAGTGGCCAGGGTTTGATCCTCCCTGTACTATGCGGCCCCCCGGGGGGGAGGGGCCCACTGAGACTGGGCGTTGTGCCGTGCACTTGTAATCCCAGCTCTTGGGAGGATGAACACAGGCGGATCACCGTGAGTCCGATCTACATAGTGAGACCCTGTAAACCCTGTACTAAATATAAATAAGATTGGGCTGCAGAGATAGCGTAGAGGACTAAGCGCCTGTTTAGGCAAGTGCAAGAACCTGGGTTTGATCCCTAGTACCACATGCTGTACAGGCCCTGCTCTGGGTACACCGAGCCACCAAGACTGGGCATGGTAGCTAACATCTGTAATCCCAGCTCCGGGGAGGCTGAAAACAGGAGAATCACTACGATTCTAGTGAGACCTTGTGCCAAAAACAAAATTTTTTAAAAGGTGGAAATTTAATTGATAATATTTAGAGGTGGGGTCTTTGAGAAGGGTGACAATTAAGATCACTAGCGTGTCACACCTACGTTTGGATCTGGGTGGCTTTTCTAAGGGAGTAGCAGTGGGTGTGAGGGTGCACACCTATAATTCCAGCACTGGAGACTGAGGCAGGAGGGGCCCTGAATTTGAGACCAGCCCTAAACCCTATCTCAAAAAAAGAAAAAAGGAGTAGTGGGCATGATGGTGTATTCCTCTAATTCCACCATCCTGAGGTAGGAGGGTTGAGAGCTCAAGGCTAGCCTGGATTATATAGTAAGTTCATCTGGAATACATAGCTGGATGCTGTCTCAAAATAAAAACACAAAAAGTGAAACCCGGGTGTGGTGGTACACGCCTGTAATCTCATACTCTGAGGCTGAGGCAGGAAGACTCAAAGTTTGAATGAGCCCAGTCTGGGCAACTTAATGATTTCGTGTCACAAGGTTTAGTGTGTTAGCTGGCTGGGGTGGCGCACACCTGTAGTCCCAGCACTCCGTGGTTTTGCCAGCTCCTGTCACAGAGTACAAAGGTGGGGGGGTGCAGCCCCCTCAGTACAGAGTGGCACGGACTTGGTCTCACTACAACACAGAGTTTTTTTAACATGTACATTCTTTTATTGTTTATTTTATTATTTTTAAAATTAATTTCATTGAGAAAAAGAAGTGGTTTTTTTTTATAAGGGAAAAAGGACTGATCTGAGTAAGTTAGAATGAGATACCATTCAGATGTGAGGAAGAATGGAGGGCAAGCAGTGGCTTCTGCCGGCTTGGAGCAGGTCCCTGGAGGGTGGGTCTGGTGTGGGGGAATCGTGTGTGAGCAGGGTCCCTAACCCGGTAGGGTCACCTGGAAGGTTTCTGTACAGGCGCTCGTGTCAGAAGTGCATGGACACGAAGCCCAGCAGAGGGCGCTGTGACAGCAGCGAGGCAGGCGGCCAGCCCGGGAAATGGAGACACAGCCTTAGCCACAGCGGGTGCTGTGCCTCCTGGGGCCTCCACTTGGCTCCGGTCACTTAAGGAGACAGTTCTGTTCTGTAGGCTGAGGAAGGTTTTCATGGCACTGAGCCTGTGTGTGGGCGCCCCAGCCTGGAGCAGGGGCCTCGCCCTGCCCCTGCCCTGAGCCCCCACCTGGCTCAGTAGAACCCCACTCAGGGCTGTGGGTGCTCCTCTCTAGCACCCTCCCCACCTTGCAGCACAGCTAAGGGCTGCAGAGTCTCCCACTTAGACCATGTGGCTCCACGCCTTTGTGCAAGGTCTCAAATTCCCCACCCTATGCAGGGCCAGGCCCCCACGCTCTCTGGTCTGGGATTCCTCTACAAGAACCAGGCCTGTCACCATCATTCTTACAGTTCTCTTTACTTTTGGTATCAGGGATTGAACTCAGGATCTTGCGCCTGCCAGGCAGGCACTTACGTCCGCTGAACTACCTCCCTGGACATAATCTCTTTATTGCTGCTGTCTGCCCCAGGAGGAGGGTTAGCCAGAGGGCAGGGAATCTGTGCTCCTACATCAGGGCCCAGTCCCAGCCCCTGGAGGTGAGGCAGAGGGAAGAGAGCTTGGAAGGACCCTGGGGTTGCAGATGGGGTGCATGCCGGCTGGCCTGAGCCGTCCTGTGCTGGGAACCCCTAGCGGGACCTTGGGATGGAAATGCTGGCATTCAGAGCATGGTGGCCCCCAGCAGCAGCACCAGCGTCCAGGCTACCAGGGACAGCGAGAGGTGGGCGGCAGCACTGCTGCAGTTGCCTCCATGGTTGCTGCTGGGGTTGCTGCTCAGGCTGGGCTGCCGCAGGCCGCAGGCGGTGTAGGGCTCCAGGCAGCCCGCGAAGGCCATGAGGTGCGCCACGTAGCTCTGCTCCTGCACGCCGTGCATGAGGTGCGCCTGTGGGCCTCGTGCGAACACTGCCACGTCCTCGCCGCCGTGCGTCTCGGATGACAGGGGTACGGCTGCCGGCTGCCGGTAAGTGGGGTCACCTGGGGGGACACAAGTGGTCAGCATGATTGAGTGTCCCTGCCCGAACTCCTCTGCCCAAGATCCTGGGGTGACCCCCATCACTCACTGGTCTCCTTGATGGTGACATAGGGCCGGGGAATCTGGAAATTTGGGCCATTTCCATATGCCAGGGAGGTGTAAGGCTTGCCATCCTTGGCCATCCCAGATGCCAGCCCTGCAGTGAGGAAGGATGACACTGGTGCCTGCACTGACCACCACTTGGGCACCGGTGTACCCTCATGCCCCGCCTTTTGCCTGGTCTTGGGCTTAATCCTCCCAAGAGCCCAACGAAGCAGTACAATCCATGTGCCCAAAGGACAGATGAGTAAAGTGGGGCTCAGACCTTTGCCATTCAGATTTAGCAATAGCAACTGCCAGGCCCTCGGCCTACCGAAGATGGAGGTGTCCCGTAGGGTGTAACCCCCAAAGGTGAAGACGTGGGAGTGGTCAGCGGTGACGAGGGTCAGGGTGTCCCGCTCGCTGGTGAGCTGGCCGGCCTTCTCAATGGCATTGTCGAACATGACCGACTCATGCAGTGCGCGATTAGCTATGGTCTCATGGTGGCCATGGTCGATGCGGCCCCCTGCAGGAAGAGTTGGGGGAGAGATGTGATACCCGACCCACTTCTGGTTGCCCCTCCAAGCCTCTGCTGTGCCAGGTGCCTCTGCTCACCCTCCACAAAGAGGAAGAAGCCACGAGGGTTCCGGCTCAGCACGCGTACAGCCACCTCCGTCATCTCTGCCAAGGAGGGGTCCAGCTCGTGGTTTCGGTAGGTTTCATATTGCAAGTGTTGGGGCTCAAAGAGACCTGAGGGATAAGAGACACCACAGTGACTACCAGGTTGGGTAACCGGAAGGGGTCACAGCACACAGCTACAGTGTGGCTGTCAGAGGCCAGCTGGGGCCAGGGCCGGTGGGGACTCACCCATGAGGTGTGTCACCGATGGATCCTGAGATGCCCGCATGAGCTCTGTGCGGTTCCACACATACCGAGACCCCTGTAGGGACAGAGAGCCCTCAGCCCAGAGCCCGAGACCCTCAGCCCAGCCCCCCACAACACCACTGTGCCCTCCACGGCCCCACCTTGTGCATCCCATCACCTGGTGCTTTGCCAGCCACTCCTGCACAAGGTTCTTCTCATCCAGCCTGATTCCTGCCTGGCTGGCATCATCTGGGTACTCGGGGTCTGGGGTTCCTCTGGGGAACATGAACCTGCGACCCCCACCAAGGATTACCTGTAACCAGAGATGAGGATGGTGGACCTAGGCCTGAAGGGTCACCTGTCCCCTCCTTTTCAGGCCTGAGGAGCCCCCAGAGCAGAGAAGAGCTTTGTCCTGGGTGGAGGCCCCTCCACTGCCCCACTGCACTGCCATAGCTCCTGGTGAGCCAGGTTGCGGGCTGAGCTGCCAGACACCTGGACTTTGGCCAGTGATGGGTCCACCCTGTCTCCCAGCCCCTCCCCACCCTTTGAACTCACATCAATGTCCATGTTGGAGACGAGCTGCGTGGCGATGTCCCGGCAGCCCTCTTGGAGTGCTGAGGTGGGCATGTTGGCATCTGAGTACCAGTTCCGGTTCACAGTGTGTGCGTACGCGCCAGCTGGCGAGGCGTGCTGGACTGTAGTGGTGGTTACTATGCCAACAGACTTCCCTGAAGGGGACACGGGTTCAGTGGGTGGCCCAGGCCATTGATGTGCACCCCTGTCCCCAGTCCGGCCACAGGCCCACCTGCTTTCTTGGCCTGGTACATCACGGAGAGGACTTCATTGCCTTTCTCTGTGGTGCAGTTGTTGTAGCGGGCAGCTGCGCTCACACCGATGATCCGGAAGTTGGTCTTGACCCCGCACAGGTAGGCAGTGGCTGTGCCTGCACTGTCCGGCACCTGTCTGTCCACGTTGTATGTCTGGAGACAGAGACACCAGCCAGCTGTGTGGGGGCAGAGCCCAGTGGGTACCATCTCCCACAGGCCGGGCCCCTGCTCACCTTGGACAGGGCCATGTACGGGAACCGGTCCATAGCCAGAGGGGTCTCTGGCCCCAGCTGGCCCTGCATCTGGCCCTTCAGGATCCTGGTGGCTGTCACCGTGGACACCCCCATCCCTGAGGAGCAAGTTGTGTTAGGCTGGGAAAAAGGCTGGCCTGGATCTGCAGGGCCCCACACCTCACCTCACAACTCACCGTCTCCCAGGAAGAGGATGAGGTTCTTGGCCGAGGTCTGAATGGGCTCCAGCTTCTTAGCGGCTGCCAGGGCCTCAGCCGCCTTTTGGTTCCAGAAGGCTGGGTTCTCCTCTTCCACTGCCCAGGAGAGAGGTGGGGTCAGCCCAGGTGGGGCTGCACCTTGGGCGGCTGCTTTGGAGGCCTCGTTACCTGGGATGATGCTGAGGGTCAGCTGGAGCCTGAGCAGGAGCAGCAGGAGCAGCGGCAGCACTGCTCGAGCTTCCTGCATGCTGGCGATGGGGTTATTGCTGCGGCTGGGACGGCAGAGGGTCGCACTGTGGCAGCCGGAGAGGAAGTTGCAACAACCAGACTACCTGTCCCAGCCCAGGCTATCAGGGTTTTATACCAGCAGGAGCTGTGCAAGTGTTTGGGTCCCTCCCTAATCCCAGGCAGCCACCCTACCCAGCTCTGCAGGGTGGAGAAGATCAGAGAGGGATTGCCAGGGAAGGGTCTAGCCAGCCCACAGCGGGCCTAGAATATGCCAGGCTTTCCCCCAGGCAGGGCGGGGCCTGAGTCATCTTGAGTTGGAGCTTTTACCCTGCTGTGTAGGCCTTCCCTCCACTCTGCTCCCCCCTGCCCCCCGTCCTCCCCCCCTCCCCCCCCGTATTTTGGGGACCTTCATTCCCGAAAGTCAATGCACTCGAGCAGAGTGTGGCTTGGGCTCAGGTTTGGCCTCTGGATGCTGGGAGCCCCAGAGAGCAGGGAAACATGTGCTGCTTGCCAGGCTGGGCAGGGCAGGTGGGGAGCCAAGAAACGTGGCCCAGAGTGGCTATTGTGTGGGGCTGGGTGGGGCCTGGGACTGGGCCGCCCTGTACTTGGGCCACAGCCTGTGGGACCTTTGAGTGGAGGCAGCCCAGTGCCCTTGAGGGGGCCTTGTTCCCTGGAGCAGATGAGGCCCTGGGGCTCAGTCTGGTCTGATGGGGGCCTACGCACATTTCTGCCACCCAACAACCGGCTTCAGAGTGCCCGGGAGCCTCAGTGGCCAGCAGGTGGGAGGGCCGCATGCGTCTGTCCCATTCAGTTAAATAAAATGAGTGCGCGGTGCAGTGGAGCATTGGCCTTGGCGGGGCCCTGGGGGGCTTGAGCTTGCGTGTGTCAGGCTGGGTGACACCTGCCACTCCTCGAGAGGTCCATGTGGTCCCACCCCAGGAGGCTCCTGAGTTGTAGGGTCCTAGAGGCAGCTGTGTGACCCCAGCACTCAGGAGCCCAAGGCAGGAGGACCTCAAGTTAAGGCCAGCCTGAGCTACATGGAGATCCTGTCTCAAACAGCCCAAAGCCAAAGGAAACACAGCGAGTGTGGCTCTGTGTGTGTGTGTGTGTGTGTGTGTGTGTGTGTGTGTGGTGAGGACGCAGGGCCTCAAGCCGGCTGGACCTGCGCTGGACCCTGAGCTGCACCCGGAGCCACACCCCCAGCCTCCAAGACTGTCCTCTACCCCCACTTAGGCTGCACAGGGCTGCAGTCACAATGACTGCGCTCACGGTGAGGAGCTGGTGCGCGCACAGCACCACTCTCCATTGTTTCTTCCCCTTCTCCACCCTAGTTTTTTTTTCGACCAGCATGAAATTGATTTTATGTCTTTGCCAAGTTAATTATTATAAACACAGATGAACACACAGACTAACAGAACCAGAAAACATGACACATAAGACAATTTTGTGTCGTTTTAATCACAATTTACAGTTTTCCGGAAGCCCTGTACAGCCCACTGGGAGGCACCCACAGCCCAGCTGCAGGCCTGCCCCCGCTCCAGTGCTGCCTCAGCCCCTGCCCTGCCCTCAGGCCCCTGTGGGTGAAGAAACTGTGCCTACACTTCCGGTCCTATAAGGGCTGGGTGTGTTCCCTGGTGACAAATCTCATCTGCTCGGGAGGCTGAGGCAGGAGGATCAGTTAAGTTCATGAGTTTCAGACCAGCTTAGACAACATAGTGAGACTTTATTGTTTTTATGTTTTGTTGAGACAGGGTCTCACTATGTAGCCCAGGCTGGCTCAGACTCACAGTGATCCTCCTGCCTCAGCCTCCTGAGTGCTGGAACTACAGGCCTGTGCCACTATACTTAGCTCAAGATCTCATTAAAAGCAAAGAAACCAACATAACCCAAGTCAGGTGAGGTGGTACAGCATGACAGTCGCAGCACTGGAGAGGTCGAGGCTGGTGGATCCCTTGAATTCAAGGTCACTCTCAACTGCCTGCATAAAGAACCTGTCTCGAAAATCAAAAGCAAAACAAAACTGAACAAGAAAACCACTAAAAACTCAAACCAAAGCCACAAAACCCCCAACTTTCAATGGAAAGTTTTAAGTGGTACAGTTTGTTGTTGCTGTCTTCAGATGAGGTCTTGCTTCGTAGTGCAGGCTGGCCTTGAATTTGTGGCAGTCCTGCTTCAGCCCCGAGTGCTGGGATTGCAGAGGTGGGCGGGGAGCTTGGGCAGCTGGGTAAGCAGCGTAATCTCTACTGAGCAGACAGTGTGGAGTTTTAGGGTGCAATCTCTGCAGTTCAGACAGTGTCCATACAGGGCTCTGGTACCCTTGAACTGATGTCCTGCCTGACCGTGCTCTGGGGATGTCCCGACAGTCATGGGGCAGGCATTTCTGCGAGATCCCTGGAGCCGCCACTCCGCAGACTCTGCCGGGTTTTTTGGCTCCATTTGGGGACTGCTGTCCTTCCCGCCTGACAGCACCCCAGATCCTGTCCTGGAAATTCTGGCCATGTCTAAATGAGTGACCCTGGGCTCTCCTAGATGCTAGGATAGCCAGCTGTCTGTGGAATCCAATGTCCCCCCAATTCTGGGGCAGGTGTCTACCTGGGACCCTGGGCCCTACAGCTGAGAATGCAGGGTGATAATGTTCTGCAGAGTGGCCCAGCTCCCCGCTGAGTGCTGGCCTGACTCCAGTGTTGTGTCACAGTGTGGTGTGTGGCCTTGTCTGTTCTGTGACTGTTGAAGCTCACGCTCCTCTCCTGAGGTGGCACAGGCCACATGGTCATTTGTACCTGTGATCCCAGGTGAGGCCACTCATGCGGGATTTACTTTGGAGTAAATGATTTTCCTGTTTCTCTTCTTGTGGGGAGCCCTTTAGATCTGACTCCTTTTTTTCTGTTTTGGTGTGTGTGTGTGTGTGTGTGTTTTGGTTTTTTTTTTTTTTTTTAATTTTTTTGTGGAACCGGGGATTGAACTCAGGCCCTTGCACTTACCAGGGAAGCACTTATTCCACTGAACCCTCTCCCCATGCCCTACTGACTCCTTTTTTCTGATTCTTTTTTTTTTTTTTTCTTCACACAGTCTTGCTGTACACAATGATGACATTTATTGTGGGGATAAAGCACAGTTCTTTCTCCCGCCTCACTCTGTTAAAGCAGCGCCATTGCCAGAGTGCCACCCGGCCTTTGGGCTGAGCTTTTCTGCCTGGGATCTGCTGGGCAGCAGGGAAGCCCTCTCCTCCTGAGCTGGCCCTGCCTGCTGCTGGCCCTGTTCGGTTCCTGATCTCCTGGGCGTTCCTCTGGGGGTAGGGAGAAGATTCCCTACTAGCAGTCAGGGCCACTGTCTTAAGCAGCCCCTTGATACCTGGTTACCTGGTTCTTTTTGTGTTTTTCTTTAAAATTTGAGGCAAGATTTTCTAAGTCACTAAGTGGCCCAGGCTGGGTTTGAACTTGCCATCCTTTGGCCTCAGCCTCTCAGAGTGCTGGGATATTGGGTGGGCAACACTGCCTGGTTCTTTTCACCAGGCTAGTGAAAAAGGGTTAGTCTCCACTCGGATTCCAGGGCCACTTCACCACCTCTTAAATCGGAGTTTTGTGTCACCGCTGAGCCACATGCAGTTCTAGAAAGGGACAGAGTGAGGTGGCAAACAGAAATGCCACAATGACACGCAGGATTTGTTGGCAGACTTATTTGCGGGAGCACCAATCCGAGTCATTCCCAGAATTTCAGGGCCAATCTCTGGGGGGCTGGGGCCCACGTGGGACAAGCTAGCAGGACCTACAGAAGCACAGTGGCTTGCCTGCTGGGGATTCACAGGGACCAGCCTTGAACGCTGCTGGTCCCCAGGGACGGGGATGGCACCCCATGTTCTTAGTTCACAGTGGACACTCAAGCAGGCGCATTGGGCTCCATGTAGCTTCATCCTGAGCAGGTTGGGAGGACAATCGTGGCCAGGTTGTCAGGCGCAGCTGCAGCCCGAGGGCCCAGTGTAACCACGCCACCCCACAGCCGCACTGCAGCCCCTGTTGCCAGTCCCCAGCAGCCAGGAATTGCGCCTGCTCCCCAAAATTGTGCTTTTTCTTTTCTTTCTTTTGTCAGCTCTAGGGATGGACCTGGGGCTTTCCCACTGAGCTACATCCTCCAGCCCTCTTCTGTCCTGAGACAGGGCCTTGCTCAATTGCTCAGTTGTTGAGGCTGGGCTTGAACTCATGATCCCCCTGCCTCAGCTGTGGAGCTGGGTCACAAGCACCTGCCCCATGCCTGGCTCTTGTCTATGCTGCACTGCCCCTGCCCTTCCAGTGCTGGGGGTTGAGTCCAGGAGTCCAGGAGTCCAGGGCCTTGCCCTGAGCACTGGCTCCAGGCTTGCTTGCTTTCTCTTTCCTTCCTTCCTTCCTTCCTTCCTTCCTTCCTTCCTTCCTTCCTTCCTTCCTTCCTTCCTTCTTTTGACTTTGTGAGACAGTCTCACTATGCAGCCGCTCAGGCCAGCTTTGAACTCACTTTGTAGCCCAGGCTGGTATCGAACTCACAATGATCCTTCTGCCTCAGCCTCCTGAGTGCTGGGATTACAAGTGTGCACCACCACACCTAGCTTGTTCCAGCCCTTCTTTTTTTTTAAATTTCATATTCTTTATGGTGGACAGTCATCACTTGCCCCAACAGCCATCTGAAGCCAATAGTCCAGGTTATTAAAAATCACAAAGTTGTACAAGTGTTCTCCTCCTTTCCAGAAACCGTGTTCCTTTTCTCTCCATGAAACGGGGCTGTCTGCAAAGCCTTGCACTGACAACGTGATCCACGGGGCTAACTTTGGTTCATCAAAGTAGTGGCGCAGCTGTTCCAGGAGAACACAGATCTTCTCTGGGAGTATGAAACCAGTGACTGTACACAAACAAGCCTTTGTCACCACTGTGCTTGGCTGGGGACAGCAACAGGTTGATATGAAGTTATTAGGCTCATTATTTCTGTTACAGAAAGAGAAAGAAGAAAAGATAATTATATTCATTACATAATCACATCTGAAGGATTGAAAGTTCAGCTAGACACAAGCAGCAAGCTAGAGCCCTAACAACGCAGAGACCCGGATGCCCACAGGTTCACATCGCAGAAGACGGCGCCAAGCCAGTCGAAGAGCTCCGGAGCACTGCAGGACCCCTCCGGCTCTCCGTGGAGCTCGCCGCTCCGCAGCTCCGGGCACTGCAGATTTCTCAGTGTGCTCATTGCCACTCTGGGATGCCGCTCTTGAATCTGGTACTTGGAAAAGTATGACATCAGCGTCGACTCTTCTGTACCTGTCTGATGCCAAGCCAAAAGAAAATCAAATTTCAATGGCTTCTTTTCTTTCAAGCACCAAGATACTCTTTCATACTTCTTGGAATCCAGGTTAAGGGATAAATCCATCAAATCAATGGGAACAATAAATTTCATAATTTTCCTGCCAGAATACTGAGATGGACGACCTTGAAGTCCAGTTTCTTCATAAGTGTCTTTATCCAGTGATAAAATTAATTTCCCATTTGGTAGTAGTGCAACAGTGTTATCTTCATCAATTTTTGTATTGTATGTCAGTGCACAGCATGAACCTTTCTTCACAAAGGTGTTGATGAATTCACATGTAATTAACTCATGAAGGGGTAGGTTCTTCACAAAGTAATAGGGTCCCATGTCCATGACCAGGCTTTTCAGTTCTTTTGATAGTAACCCACATTCCGGAATCAAGAAAGAAACCTTGTAATTGTGATAGTGCATCTCTACGAGATGCCGGTGGCGTGACTTGTTGTGGCCGAAGTTGAACTTCTCGCAGACTAGTAAGTGCCGGGGCATCTCTCGCAGTCTGCGCAGCATGGCCATGCCTGTGGTGATTTCCTCCAGCCCTTCTTTAAAAAAAAAATTTAGACAAAATCACTAGGGTTATGGTAGTGCAAGCCTGTAATCCCAGCACTCAGGAGGCTGTGGCAGGAGGAGTCCCATGAATTTGAGGCCAACCTGAATTGCATAGTGAGACTCTATCTAAAAAAAAAAAAAGTCACTAACTTCCTGAATTGCTGAGGCTGAGTTCAAACTTGGGATCTTTCCTGGCCCAGGATCCCAAGCTCAAGAGTCAGGACCACAGGGGTTCTCTGCCACACTCGGCTTGGAACCCGAGCAGATGAGGCTCCCTCCTCACTCTGCTACAGTGATACCTGGGAATTCTCACCCACCATCTGCCTGGGTTTCTGGTGAAATTTCCTCTTGTGTCAGGAGATGGACACAGGCCTTGCGTCCCTTGCTGTGAACACAGGTGTCTGTCCCCAGCCACAGCCTGTGGGGACACCTGACCCCTGCCTCCCCCTCTGCCTGAGCCTCCTGACTGGTGATGTGGGGTGCAGTCCCCGGGTGCAGGCTTGCGGGCAGTGCAAGCTCGATATGGCGGGGATGCGGCCTCCGCCATGCACCAGGGACCTCGGCCGGGCCATCCTCTTTGAGCGCCTCTCCAGAACCACTGTGGGTGAGGAGACCCGTCCCAGTCCCCTCCAGGATCTCCTATGTGCTGTCTGGTGTCCCTGCTGATGCTGGCTCTGCCCAGGTCATGTCTGGGTCCCAGGCACAGCACCCTGGGGTGCTGCATCCACCCTGCTACCACCACTGTCCTCAAACACGGGGACCAGATGCCACTCGCCTCCCACCATCCATACACACACCAGCAGGACAGCGTGCGGGGCTGTGCTCATGGCCCTGCCATGCAGGGTGAACAGCATAGACTGGGAAGAGATGGGGCACCAGGAGAGGGCCCCAAAGCCATGGCACACCGGGGAACCAGAGGCACGACTTCCTCTGGCCAGCACCCCAGGTGCGGTTTCACCTTTTCCTGTGGGAACTCCAGCTGTCTGCAGCCCTGTCTGGCCCCGCACCTGTTGGGGTTCCCAGAGCAAAGTTTTTTGAGTTCAGGCTTCTTCCCTGTGTCACAGCCTCCAGACCTCAGGGATCTGGTGCTGAGGCCCCTAACCTCCCTTCCCCCCATGCAGTAGGCAGGGAACATTTTCCTAATGTGACAATTCATGCTTTCAAAGGGTCAGTTTTCAGATAATTTTAGGTGACATGGTGACTCATTTGGCCTCCACCCATCCAGGACATATAATGGCACTGAGTTTTTCCTTTATCTGGGGTGGGGTGGGGGGAGTAATTCAGGATATTGGCCAGGCTGTCCTAGAACTCCTGGACTCCAGGGGTCCTCCTGCCTCCTCAGCCAAGACCCAAGCCCAGTGCAAGTTTCTGATTGTCTTTCAACTGTTTAGAGGAGAGGCCCTCAGCTGCTTCTAGAACACCTTCAGCAGCACACTAGCTTCCTCGCATCTGACTAAGGACAAAGCGAGCCGCAGCCCCCGCCCTGTGGTGGCGGAGCTGAGAAGGGACCGACATTGTGCTTGTCCTCCTGGGATACACCCCGGTGCCGCCCGTTCACGGCCCCAGAATTGTCCTCCCATTCCAGTAGCTCTGCACTCCCTTTTCTAATTATTGGAAGGAAACCCTGAGCTTATTTAATGAAAAATATTAGTAACACCACAGGTAATATGTGGTCATGGCAAGAAATCATTAAGATGATACATGAACAACCAAGTTTTGAAAACGTGAGCTGAAAAGACCTAAATTAAAAGGCTCGGGGCCTGGACCTACATTCACTTCCCTCTCTTCCTGGGTGTCCTTCAGAACTGTTTCATTTTTTGGGGAGACAGAGGTCTTGCTATGCTGCCTGGAACTTGTGACAGTCCTGCCTCAGCCTCCGAGTTGCTGGGATTATAGATGTGCACCACCATGCCCGGTGTCCTTCAGAATTTAACCTCTCCAAACCTACTTCTCTCTCAGGTGGGAAAAGGACTGGCACATTGTCACAGGGCTGAGGCAGTGTGGTCAGTGCTGCTGGGAGTGGGAGGAGGTGGCCATGCCTGACATCTGAGCCAAGGGTGGAGGGGTGGACTCCAGGATGAGGCTCTGAAGCCCAGGGGCTGGTGGAATTGTCCCCTCCGGTAATTGCTGTGGCAGGGCCTTGCTCTGGCCTGGTCTCTCCAGGGAGGAGCAGGGAGGGGTCCCCTTCCTCTGGAGAACTCGCCCACAGGGCCAGGCCAGGATGGAGCTAAGGCTGTGACATGGTGGTCCTGGCGGCTGCCAACCAGACAGTCTCTTTGGCCAAACTTCTTTTTGGCCACAGGTGGCAGAGGCCAGGCCATGGAGGTAGCAGGGGCAGCCAGTAGCTGGCCATCCCTGGTGCCTCCCAAGGCGACAGATGACAAACTGTGCTACACTTCAGGCACAGAGAAGCACATGGCGGTCAAGAACTTTTGGGAATTTCACTCCAATTGGAGCTACAAGAGCCAGGGCCATGTAAGCCAAGACCAATTTTTCCCGTTCTATTGAGCATCCAATTTCTGTGGCTTTTTCAGTGGCTGCCCCTGCTTTCCAGAACTGATCAGTGTTCTTTTTATGAATATCAAGCACAGTGTAGTTTGTGAGACCTGCTAGTATAAACAACTTTTTTTACATAAATGATTGAAATGTCTTCTCCCCTAAGATGACTTTCTAGATAAAAGAATGCCAAGAGTGGTGGCACAGGCCTGTAACCCTGGCACTTGGGAGGCTGAGGCAGGAGGATCAGCGAGTGTTCAAGGCCAGCCTGGGCTACAAAGAGCTCAAAGTCAGTCTGAGCTGCATAGTGAGACCCTGGCTCAGAAAGACAAAAGAAAAGAAACGAAAAAGACACGTCAGAACCAGAGCAATGCCTACAAAGATCAAGCAGACTTTTCTAATTCATAATCTGAATTCAGTTATGTGAAATTCCAGCTCATTCCATGCAGAACATACTGGCCCTGGCTTTGGACTCACAGTGAGCCTCCTGCCTCAGCCTCCAGAGCGCTGGGCTTAAAGGCTTGCCATAGCACCACAGAGGGCTATGAAGGGCTGACAGGCACCCTGAGTGGGCTCCCTGCTCCCTGCTGCCACCAGTGGCCATGCAGCTGTGACCCAGAGGACTCAGAGGCCAGGAGGCCAAGGTTCTACTGGTTTGCCCCTGCGCTGCTGCTCCTGAGATGATTTAATTAATTTGTTTGTTTGTTATCTGTCTTTTTTTTTTTATTTGTCTTTTTGAGACAGGCTTTCACTATGCAGTTCAGGCTGGCCTTGAGCTCACTTTGTAGCCCAGGCTGGTCTTGAACTCCTAACAACCCTCCTGTCTCAGCCTCTTGAGTGCTAGGATTACAGGTGTAGGCCACCACACACAGCTTCTCTGAAACTTTAAAGCCTTAGGCAAGGGCTGGCCAAATAGTTCAGTGGACTAAAGTGCCTGCTTAGGCAGACACAGCAGCGACCCGGCAGGCCATGTCCTGCCTCTGGGGATGCTGAGCCCGTGATTGAGACTGAGCGTGGTGGCATGCGCCTGTAATCCCAGCACTTGGGAGGCTGAACACAGGTGGATCATTTCGAGTCCTATCTATGCAGTGAGACCCTGTAGATCCTTAAAATAAATTAAAAAAAAAAAAAAAAAGACTTAGGCAGCATTTGAGGCTGCCTATTGGCAGGGTCTATCAAGATAATGGGGCTGGGGAGATGGCTCAGTAGAATAAGTGCTTGCCTGGCAAGTGCAAGGACCTGAGTTCAATCCTTGGTAAAAAAAAAAAAAAAAAAAAAAGGATAATGGCACTAATGGGCCCTGTGCTGAGTGAACAGGAAGCCTGTTAGCCCAAAGGAGCTTTTCTGCCTAAGGCAGCACCTGAATGTTTAGTTTTTATTTTAATCCAAGTTGTGTGCGTAGCTTAAAGGGTCAGAGCTGCAAGGTTTGTGAAGATGTCCCCTCGCCCCTGCAATCTCCCCTCGGAGGCACACTGCTCTGCTGGTTGGATTTTAATATTTACCATCATTCCTAAATAATGCACTTCATTTTTCAGCCTTCAAAATCTTTTTTCTCCTCCCTCCCTTCCCT